ACCTGGGAGTTAAGGTGGAGACCCAAACTGCTTGGGTCACGTGTAGACTTCTTCTGGGTCAGTTGGTTGGCCAATTGACTTGTAATATTGGGCTAGAATGTTTTGTAGTTAAAACTCTTAGATTTTGAATTAAATTTGCAATGTATTTTGGACCTGTATATAAAAAATAAACGTTAATGTTTATTTTAATTAGCATTCATTATTTATAACAACTATTTACTAACCGAAGCTGGTAAGCATACTTATATTTAATATTTATCATCGCTATAACTTCATCGAGACTTATATATATGAACATATATTCTTCAATATAATGTATATAAATAATAACCAAAACATATATATTAAATAATAATTAATGGTAATCTCTAAATATAAGTATCACATATATAGCACTAAATCTATGTAAATATTTATAATTAAAACCACTATAATTGATAAGTAATAATACAAAAATAATGAAAAATAAAAACATAGATAATAATAAAATCGGATTAAAGTCTTGATGAAATTGAGTATCTACAATGTTATTTGAAGATTAAGAATGTTATATTTTTAAAGTAGTGAGAATATGACATAGAGTCAATCCACGACTAATAAGGTATGATTGACGGGAAATCATGTATAGTTCATGTCGAAATATTGATTGATATTCAAGTGATAAATATGCTTAGTGACCTGGATGAATCTTATGTGATTTTTGCATGTTTGAATCATGTTTTAATGAGCACTAATGTAGTTGATTGATATATGGTGAATGATGATTTTTTTAAGGGTTAAAGGCATGTTTTAAAGTCGAATTTGACCATTGGGTGCATCTGGTATCTGTACGAAACATGGGGGTATAGATGTCAAATCATTAAGAGGTATGGTATCAACTGCAACAATGTTGATACGTAAGACAATCATTATAGCATGACATTTTGCTATCAATATTGGATATGCGTATGATACCAAAATCTTGGTATCAATATTCAATAGAGGGTTTAGGATTTATGAATCCTAAATAAGTATTAATAATATCAAAGAGTATCGATATTGTATCCATAAAATATTGATACTGATGGAATGGTAACGATATCATCCACTTAAAACAATCAAATTAAGCATTAAGTCCTTCAATTGTTTAATGTTTACGACATGACCTCTTAAGTTGCCGTAATTTTATTTGATTTATATTGTTGACCTCCAATATGAGAATCTTTACAGATTAGTTACTAAACCATAATTGACTATCTAGTAATTCAATTAGAGTTAATAAGGTTATTGATATTGTTTGGATCAGTCAATGTAACATCATCGATCTAGTTCACGATTAAACCAAATCAAAGGTTACACATTGTCTTCAAAAGTTATTCTTTGTTAGAGTATGTAATCTTAAGAGTTTATGATATAAAATTTAAGGGAGTTGTAAGGTTACACATTGTCTTCAAACGTTGATATAATTAGTGAATTTGAGAAAATTATTAGTGTGAATAGTTAAGGTAAAGAATGTAAACTTCATTGAGAAGTTAAATCATTCTAAATTGCTTATGTCAAAATATTTTTTAATTTATGAAAAAACTTACATCAAAATTTTTATTATCAATTCATCGCTTAGTTATATCATCGATCAATTGACTCGACATTTTTTTTTTACTTTGGGTCGGTTTGATTGAAGATGTTATTGTGCCTGTCGCTTCTACCACTGTAACTGAGGTCAAATCCGTCCAACATAAAAGCTCGACCTTGATTGACCTACTATGACTTGCCTCGACTGAGAAATGTTCTCAAATCTATTATTGAACTGGTTCAATATAACGACCTGAGCCATGTTAAACCAGCGATCCTCCAAATCTATTTTGAGCTTTGTAGCTAAACAGTCCATTCTCACTTGTATACAAAGATAGACATAAATATCAAATGATACATCCAAACAATTTTTAGTATTATATATATATATATATATGAAAAATTCTACAAATCACGTTGTATACCGTAACATACTATTAAAGCGACGTATCGAAACACATTATAAGCAAATTTATCTTTGTTATGTAATTATTAAAAAATATAAGGATTTATTTAAAATTAATCATTTATTAAAATTTAATTGTAATTTAATAGAATTATAATTTATTTAGGGTAAACTACATGTTTAGTACCTAAACTATCACTTTTGTTTCGATTTAGTATCTCAACGTTAATTTTTTTCAAAATCATACCTAACATTTATTTTTTGTTTCATTTTAGTACCCCGCCGTTCAAAAGTTAACGACAAAGCTGACTTAGTATTTTTATTTGGGTAAATTACACGATTCATCACTTTATCTTCTCACTTCTATTTTGGTTACTAAAATTTAAAAACATTCAATTTAATCATTAAAATTTGAAATTACTTGTATTTTGATCTCTCTTTGGTGATGTGGATTATTTTATTATTATTTTTAGTATGGCATGACAAATTTATTATTATCAATGTCAAATAAAATTTAAAATCAAAATCAAAATCCTTAATCTTAATCCTAAATCTCCAAACCCCAATGCCGATCTAAACCCATCCTTCATCTTCATGAAACAAAGAATACCCAAAAACCCAGACTAGCCCTTGTTGTTTCTTTCATTTCCTTCTTTTCCCTTGCATGAGGCAGTGCTACGATTGAGTGAAACTATACAAAAAATAAAAAAATAACCTTGTAGTCTATACCTAGGTTCATCAAGCTCTTGTTCTTTTTTTTTTATTCTTTTCATTTTGATTTTATGATTAGGTCCGTGAAAGTAAAAAGGGGTAATGCCGCTTTTGTTTGGTTGGTGATATAGTGAAATGAATTATCTTTATTTTGCCTGAAAAATGAGGGAAAGTGCAAGAAAATAAGTATAAGAAGAAACATAGATTTTTTGTTTTGTTTTTGTTTCATACTATTTATTTTAGTTTTGTTTTTTTGGAACTGCAAGATTTTAAGAGGAAATGAGAAAGCATGGATGACAACTTCTTTCTCATCCACTTCATGCGTTTTCCCTTTTATTATTGTTTTTTGTTATTATATAAAAAAATTCTTAGCTTTTTGTTGTTTCAATTATGGGTATTGATCAATATTTACATTTTTCTTAACATGTCTTTATGAATATGATAGTGGTTGTTGTATTCTTGACACTTAAATTTGTTTCTATGTGTTCATTTGTTTCCAATTCACAAACGAGTTTTCAAGGGACTCTTATGTGGTGGTCGGAGGGTGATGTTGGTGGGGTTGGGGTTTGAATTGACGATTGGGGTTTTGAGATTAAGGGTTGGATTAAAATTATAATTTTTTATTTTAAATCTTATTTGATATTAAATATTAATTAATTTATCATGTCATACTAAAAATAAATAATAATGTAGTCCACGTCATTAGAGAGGATCAAAATAGAAGCAATTCAAAAGTCTAATGATTAAATTCAAATTTTAAATTTTAGTGACCAAAATAGAGTGAGAAGATAGTTGAGTGATGAACTGTATAATTTACCCAAATAAAAAAATATCACGTCAGCTGTGCCGTTAACATTTTAACAACGGATACTAAAATGAAACAAAAAGTAAACGTTTGGTATGGTTTTGAAAAAAATTGAAAGTTGAGATACTAAAACGAAGTAAAATAATAATTTAGACTACACATGTAGTTTACCCTTTTTTTATTAAAAATAATTGGGCGACGATGGACTGGTGGCGACAAACGGAAGTGTTGGATGTTGTAGCAGTTGATTTTTCGGCGAACTAAGGTGGTCGTCGGCGATGACTGATGCTGATGACCAGTTCTAACTTATATAACTTAAAAATCATAATTCTAAACAAATTAAATTACTTAAATTAATTATTTTTAATAAAAAATTATAATTTAAATATAATTCTATTAAAATTATAATTAAATTTTAATAAATGATTAATTTTAAATAAATATTTATACTTTTAATATTTACACAATAAGAATAATTTTTTTAGTGTGTTTCGACATGTCGCTTTAGTGATACGTTACGGTATGTGATATGCTCTGTAGACTTTTTTATATATATGATAAGAAATGATAACAGCTTGTTGACTTGATGGATTGTTTTTACCACCGTAATAAAATTAATAAACTTAATTTGCTTTCAACAATAATGTAAACAATTGCTTTTAAATTATTAGTTAAAAGATTGTTGTAAAAAGAAAACGTTAACATGGACCAAAAAAATAATAAATAAATAAAATAGCAATGATATAATTGTTATATCGTTTAATTTACTGTCTTGGAAGCCATTTTACTTGGATTAATGTAATCTTGAAAATAAAAATTGCCAACAAATTAATACATTCTTTCAAACTTTGTACTCAAAATAATGAAATAAAACTTAATATTTCTAAGAAAAAATCACAGATAAAAATATCTCATGAATAAAAATTGTTCGTCAACAAACAAGATATGTGTCTTTTTGTTTTAAAAATGAGACTCTAAATGCTTTAAAACAAAATAATAAAGATCAAAATAATTATTTAATCAAACGCTAAAGATTTTTTTACTTTAAAATAATATACTGAAAGTCAAAATCTTTAAAAAAGAATAATAATTAAAATAACTGTTTAATCAAAAGTTAATTATATAAGGATCCTGTTGCAGATGTAATTTTTTTTGGTTTTACATAAATTTAAGATTATTAAATGTATGAAAATAGATGACTGAAATCAACAATAAGAAACGAGAAGATATTCACAGAGAAAAACGAAAAGAATTAATCTTAATCATCTATTTTCACTCTTCTAATGATCCTAAATTTACTTAAAACTAAAAAAAATTACATTACTTAATTGGTTCCTAACCCTTTACATTATGCCAAAACTTTTTGCCATGAACCATTAACTTGCTTGTACCTAATAAACTATGTTCATATAATCCTGCTGCAAGTAATAAACCGAACAGAATCTAGTACTCCCGGGTTTAGTTCCAATCTCGTTAAGCTCAGCTACTCCCTATAAACTTAACCTTTTTTTTTTCCTTCCCAAAGAGAAAGCACAGTTAACCTTTAAACCAATGCAATTTTCTCAGCAATGGTATTAAACCCTCCAAAAGTTCCCCAAAACCGATTTGAAAACACCACAAAAACTATGATTAACTCTATTGAAAATGGAGAATAAAGGGAGCACAGACCAAGTGCTTCTTGATTGACTTCCATTCGTCCAAGAGAAAAGCAGGAGACTTGACAACGTAAATCATACCGATGTCGCAGGAAAAACATATTACAATACTACTGTTATTATGATATGAAAAAGAAAAAAATTAAGAGGATTCTAAAGAGTAGTAGCGGAGTCAAAATGTAAGTGATGCTTATCTTTGTTGGCTGTAATTAACTGCTGCTTTTACTTTTTAACTGCCAGTTTTACTGACCCTTAATATATGTTCAGCTTCTATTCAGTTTCAAAGAATCTTCCCCCGCACCAATCTTCTGTTGCCTTGAAGGTACATTCATTGCTTCTTTATGTTTAAACTTCGATTCTCTCCGTTATTTTTCTGGGGTTATTGAGTCCTTGAAGAATTGACTTTCCGGGTGTCTGGGAATCGGAGAGATGACTCTTTTTATTGAAGGTTGATTTTTGAGGACTTTTTATTAATGGGGTTCCGTACCTTTGAGGTGGTGGTGGTGGGTGGGTTGGGGGGGGGATAAAACTTGTTTGATTTGATATTTGTTTGTTTACTGAAATTCAAGATTGATCGTTATGTTCATTGCTTATTTCTTTGTAAAATTGGATTATTTTGTATAATCTATAACTTGAAAATTGAGATTCTTCTTTTCTGGGTCTTTAGTTTTTGAAAGAAAAGAAGAAGCATGTTTAGTTAAAATTTTGCTTGGTTTCTTCAATTGAAGTTCAAGCTCCACCCACCCACCACCACCACCACAGAATTTGTGCTTTTATTGAGTGATCACTGAGATTTTCTAACTGGATTGAATAAGAATCATTGTTTCTTTCTCTTCATTTGCAGTGCTGAAGAACCAGTAGGATATGAATCAAAGAGTGAGGCAGAAACGTGAATGTAGTCAGGAAAAAGATAAGACAAACACTAGTTCGAAGACCCTTAAGTGTAATCGTTTGACTTCAGCTACTATTTCTGGAGTTGATTGGACAACCTTGCCAGATGATACAGTTATTCAACTCTTCTCTTATTTAAACTATCGAGACCGAGCTAGCTTGGCATCAACTTGTCAAACATTTAGGCTTTTAGGATCTTTTCCCTGTTTATGGGGGTCGCTGGACCTCCGTTCTCACAAATTTGATACTGCAGCTGCTGTCTCACTCTCTTCACGTTGCAAGAATCTCCAGAGACTTAAATTTCATGCAGCTGGCTCAGCAGATGCAATAGTTAGTCTTCAAGCAAGGGAACTTCGAGAAATTAGTGGTGATTTTTGTCGGGACATTACAGATGCTGCACTTTCAGTGATAGCAGCAAGACATGAGATGCTTGAGAGTGTCCATCTTGGTCCAGATGCTTGTGAGAGAATCAGCTGTGATGCAATAAAAGCACTTGCATATTGCTGCCCAAGGTTGCAGAGGCTTTGGATGTCAGGTGTTAAGGACATTAACGGAGATGCTATTAATGCTTTGGCTAAGCATTGTAGGCTGTTAAAGGATGTTGGGTTTGTGGAATCAGACAACATTGATGAAGTGGCTCTTGGAAACTTGAGTACGGTTAAATTTTTATCAGTTGCAGGGTCTAGAAACTTGAAATGGGGATCTGCAGCACACGGTTGGAGTAGATTGCCTTGCTTGGTGTGTTTAGATGTTTCTAGAACTGACGTAAATCTAACTGCTGTTACCGGATTTCTCTCAATGTCCCAAAATTTGAAAGTATTGTCCGCCTTGAATTGCCCAGTTTTTGAGGGTGAAGTTGACAGAAACTCGATGTATAATCACAAAGGAAAAATATTGCTTACTTTTCTGAGTGACATGTTCAAGGGAGTGACATCATTATTTGCCAACAATTCTAAAAATGTTACTGATGTGTTTCGGTACTGGAGGAGATTAGTGAATAGAGATAAAAACGTGGATGAAATTGTTGTTTGGATTGAATGTGTCTTCTCGCATTCACTTTTGCGTATCGCTGAAAACAATCTGAAGGAGTTTGATGATTTCTGGCTCACACAAGGGGCAGCCATATTACTCAGTTTGTTGCGAAGTTCAAAGGAGGAAGTTCAAGAAAGAGCAGCTATGGCTGTTGCAACCTTCGTAGTCATTGATGATGAAAATGCTACTGTTGATTGTAAAAGAGCTGAGGCAATTCTACGGGGGGATGGAATAAGGGTGCTTTTGAACCTTGCAAGATCTTGTCAAGAGGGACTTCAGTCCGAAGCAGCTAAAGTATGAATTACCTCTTTTTCTGTGAATATACTAAATATGATCCTATCATTTAAAGTAATCTTTACAATTTCATGAATTATAAGCAACGTTAGAAGTGACTACAAGGTGTAGTCTACAACTGTACTTAGATATTAAACTTTTCATAAATTCTGTTTTAGAAGTTATGCTTTCATATAATTCGTCACCTTGGAATTTGTTGTATGAGTTTTGCTGAGATACTGGACTAGTAATTTTTTGTTGTTGTGATTCAGGCCATAGCAAACTTGTCCATAGATTCAAAAGTTGCAAAAGCTGTTGCTGAAAGTGGAGGAATCAAAATTCTTGCCAATTTAGCAAAATCGATGAACAGATTGGTAGCTGAAGAAGCTGCTGGAGGGCTGTGGAATCTTTCGGTTGGGGATGACCATAAGGTTGTGAAACCGGAAAGAATTTTATTGGTGGTTATCTTCAAAATTTTCATCTTTATCCAACTCTTTCTTTTTCAGGGTGCCATTGCAAAGGCTGGTGGTATAAAAGCTTTAGTTGACCTTATATTCAAATGGCCTTCCAGCACTGAAGGACTTCTCGTATGCATCTTTAACTGTTCATTCCTCCATATATTTGTATTATAGTTGGAGCTAAATTGTCAGCTTTGCTATATTAAGGAACGTGCAACTGGAGCACTGGCAAACTTGGGAGCTGATGAGAAATGCAGCCTGGAGGTGGCTGTGGCAGGTGGAATCCATGCTTTGGTGATGCTTGCTCGCACTTGCAAATTTGATGGAGTGCAAGAGCAGGTATTTTGGTTTTACTTACTTTTGTACATTGAGAATGAAAAAAAAAATCATCTTTTCCAGATGGGTGATGGTTTTTTAGGTTACATTGTTAGTGACCAGTATAATTTATTTAGGATAACTAGTAGATATTTTAGAAGTCCTTATGGATCTGCATTTTTTATAGCTAGGAGGAGATTAAAGAATTGACCAATACTGTTCATGTCTTCCATGCTAGGTTGATATAATGCTGATTAAACTAAGACACTAAACTGCCGAGTACCTTTGCATTTACCATGGAATATGCATCTAATGTTTTCACTCAGAATGCCTAAAGATTATAGCTCCCTCGAGTGTATGATTATCCAACGTTGAATGGAGAAATGCTATATTTAGCTGGATCCCTTATCAAGTATTCTTATTTTAAGACGTGGGAAATTTGTTATATTTCAATTTTAAGCTGACATGCTATCCCCTGTTAATAATATGCCTGCAAATGGGATGTCCTTTTAAGGTGAATACTTATCCCTTAACTTCATTCAGTTGCCTCCCAACCATTCTGGAGTATCAGCTTAATTATGCATTCTTATGCAAACTAATGTTTCAGCAGATAGCTTTAAATTTTTCTTGCTAAATAAAATTTTCTTCTCATTTTGGCTAGGCTGCTCGTGCCTTGGCTAATTTGGCAGCTCATGGGGATAGCAACAGCAATAATGCTGATATCGGACAAGAGGAAGGTGCGCTGGAAGCACTGGTGCAACTTACTTATTCTCAAAATGAAGGTGTAAGGTGATGTAATTTGCTTCATTTCGCCTGCGGTAATCCTAACCACCTATGAGTGAAACTTAAGTAAATGGCAATGCATCTTGCATGTTTTAAACATTTATTACTGCTGACTATGTCACTTGGAATTTTACTTTAAGTAATTGCATGTACTAAGCTATGCTCGACTCATAAATCCATCTTTCCAAATTCCATTTTATTTATTCATATCTCCTCACAAGCAGGCAGGAAGCAGCTGGTGCTTTGTGGAATTTGTCATTTGATGACAAAAATCGAGAAGCAATTGCAGCAGCTGGTGGTGTTGAGGCATTGGTATGGTGAATTGCATGTCAAAACCTTGATCATTTCATATTTGCAAATTTCAAGTAAATTATTATTCTATTTTATTCTACATATGATGAATCAATTATTAAATTATCTCAAGTATTCCACTGCCTGTTAAAAGCTATTAAATGGTTTCTACCATACTTTTTATCTTGGTCTTAATTTGATCATTTCCCTCACTATGAGTGTGGCCTTTATTATTCCTTTATAGGTTGCAGTTACTTTTATTGTAACAAGACACTAAAAATTTATGAATGTTGACAAGATTGTCTATTTGAATTTCTTTTCTCCTTATTCTATTTTCTTATGAATTATTGTAGAATTCATGACTTGAAGCAATTAAAATAGACTCAATATGCATGATTTCAAACATAAAAAATAAGGTAGCAATTAATATGCAAAGAAGCGGTTCAAGAGACTCATATTATGATAATCATTCATTTCTTTAAAACGGATGTGGCAGAATTGCTGCATTATCTATGGCGATACTAGGTAATTTTTTTTTTATATTGAGAAGCTTCGTAGGCATGTCTGATGTTAAAATATGGAAGGAAATACAAGTGCTAAAGATAATTTTGTTTGATATCGAGAAGCTTTTATGTTAATGTTCTCTGCCTTGATGATTCTATTAGCAACACCACCTATAAAAACTCCAAATATTAATAAAATTTATGATTCCACTTCTTGAACTGATAACCCTCACCTAGGTTGTGGTTTTGCAAAAATATATGTATTTTTCGGCTATCAGCCCTCTTGCAGGTCGTTGAAACTTTTATTTCGGTTTGCATTGTTAGGTTGCCCTTGCTCAATCTAGCTCAAGTTCTTCCCGAGGTCTTCAAGAAAGAGCTGCAGGTGCCCTTTGGGGATTGTCAGTATCAGAAACTAACAGGTATTTGAGGAAACTTCTTGACTGTAATTGTTCAATGTTTCAACTTAGTGAAAATATTTGCTGAACAAATTCTTAGGTGAAGGTGCTCTCCTTTGCTTTGGTGCTGTATACGTGTAAAAAGATCTTTTCTTGTAAACCAAATACGAGTAACCTAGACCTTGTTCATTCTATTTAGTTTAGAGTTTGAAGCATTTGCTACATGTGTGTAAACCTTAAAACTCTAGACGTAAATCATTTTCAGAGTTCCGTGTCTTGACAGAATGTCTGATCTACAACTATTTAGGCCTCAGTTTATGGCAAACTGAAAAATCAATCTCTTTTCATTTTGACTTATTTTTTGGTTATAGATAGCCTTTTCTATATACATTATAGCAATGTATATTAATTTTTCTTGAAGGATGTTTCTTAGCAATTTATTGCGGTATTTTTTGTTAATGTAGCATTGCTATTGGAAGACAAGGTGGTATTGCTCCACTTATTGCCTTAGCACGCTCAGATATTGAAGTAAGCTTCTCACTCTTTGCTTGTTTAGATTATTCATTATTCTCAAAATTAGTTTAAGATTTTTCTTGCATTAACTGTGGTTTATTTGTATTTTCTATGTTACTGTTAGTACAATTGCTTTTGGCCCTGATTTCTGAGAATTTGAAGTTGATGTAAATTGACAGGTTATAATAATGTTAGGCTTTGGCCAAGAAGGGGTATTTAGATAATTAAATTTCAGTGTTTATCCTTAAGACTTTGGCCAATAAGGGGTATTGGTACAATACTAAGGATTATGGACCCTATAAATATGTAATGTCCTATGACTATTTTTTCTCAAACAATTGAATATAACAAAAAGCCTTTTGGCAATTGTTTGGACGTTGATCCCCTTGAAATGATCAAATTTTATTTTTCTTGTTAATCTTCCGATTTCCCTTTTGATAGAACCCTAGGTTCTTAACAATATTCTAACCGTAAACTAAGGTTTAGTATATGATTGGTTTTCAGGATGTCCACGAAACTGCTGCTGGAGCACTCTGGAATTTGGCCTTTTATCGTGAAAATGCTCTCCATATAGTACATGATGGTGGAGTTAAACCTCTCATTCATCTATGCTCTTCATCAGTCTCAAAAATGGCTCGTTTTATGGCTGCATTAGCCTTAGTTTACATATTCGATGGGAGGTATGTCAAACTATTTTTTGCTAGTTGGCAATATTTGTGTGATAGAGTGTCGGATTCTTAGTTTCAATGATTAAGGTTCAATGATTGGCAGCCTCAAATATATAGATAAAAAGATCCTATTTTCTATAAGTTATCATGGATGGACAACCAGACAGCACTTTAAAGAGAAGCAAAAAGAAGAAAAAAAATAATATTTAAGCTTTGGTAAAAAGGTGGTATTGACTGGTAGGGGAATGCTTCAAAAAGTTACTTTTGAGGTCTAACTTTTGGCTTAACTATTTATAGGATAGATACATCTGTTCCGGCTGGGTCCTCATCATCTGGAAGTTCAAAGACTCTGAACACGGATGGGGTTGGGAGGATCGCCTTAAAGCATGTTGAAGAATTTGTGACCTCATTCTATGATCCACAATCCTTTCTCACTGCAGCTTCATCATTGGTCCCCACTGCTTTGGCACAGATAGCAGAAGCCATAAGAATACAAGAAGCAGGACATCTAAGATGCAGGTTTTAATGTTTTGGCCTTAGCATTTGGTATTCAATTGGTAAATTTGAATGAGTTTATGGTGGTAAATTACATATTGTATTAATCTATTTACTAGCATATAGTAAATTACTTATTGCAGACAACATGATATTTGCATGCACTTGTCATTACCCCTGGTTTCTGTTGTCTCGTTCGTCGCTTCCTTTTCTCTCTCTCTCAATTGTGAACTAAAACCAACCCCATAGGGAGAGCAGTGGATCTCACTAGGAAATTGCTGATGGGAGGGTAGCCTATGGACTTTATAAACTACCCTAAGGCCTTAGACTTTGTTGATATGAAACTTATGTTGCCCCTTGTGCATTCTTGAAACACCGATGTTTGTACCTGTAACTAATCAGACCAGACCGGACCTTTTTATGGAACACCCAATGGCCAAACGTTGTTGTTTCAGCCATCCATCTCTTGAATCCTCATTTTTTACCTCTGGCATAGCATTTGCATTTTTGCCACACTTCAAATATTGTAGTTTTTGTTGTAAAAGTTGATGCTTGCACTTGATTAGTAAGTGACTCAAACACCATTCCGGCCTTTCTGTAGGTGACATCAACTTTTTTGAACGTTGTTCTGTCATTTTTTAATTAAATCCAGTATGTCTACTCAGAACATTTTGTCGGAAATGTCTTTAAAAGTCTGTTACAATTCTTGGAAATTCTTGTAAAAGGAGTTTCCAAAAAGAATTAAATAAAAAGAGAGAAATCAAATCAGGCTTTAAATTATTGGCTTGAGAAAACGAATTGATGGGTAAAAGGTATATGACGATGAAAATGCTCTGCCAATCTTACACCAAGTTTGTATCGATCCGCCTTAATGGCATGCTGCAGCATGGTTGGGAATACCAAAGAACACTTTGAGAGTTCTTCCTGCCTTTTTTGTTATGAGTCGGGTGTTAGAGTCAGATACAGTTATGTAACCGACATAGCTATCTCCATTTTTTTCTAAAGTTTTTCCATTTATGTAGAGATTTTTTTTAAGGGTCATATCCCCTAAAAAGGTGTTGGACACTATACTTCAAAACACAAAAAAGAAGCAAGATAAGTTCCACTAATATCTGGCTTTAGGCAGTAAATTTATGGTTCAATTGTTGAAGCTTTGTAATTTTAGCATCCATTTCCAAATGCATCCTCATAAACACAATTGATATTTGCCGCATAAAAAGTTTGTTAATGGTTCTATGCTATATGTTTTCTGCAAGATAGTTATTTTCCTACCACCCCTTTCTCTGGGAATGACATTTTCACAAGTTTCATGTTCATGGCTCTTACCTTCTGCATTCCTCTCTGTATTCTAATATATATATATATTTTATCTTATCTCTCCAGTGGAGCCGAGATTGACAGATTTCTCAGAATGTTAAGGGACCCTTCTTCCATACTAAAGTCCTGTTCTGCATTTGCTCTTTTGCAGGAATGCACCTATTCTCTTTATCCTATCTATTAAAAAATATAGTTTTGTTTTATTCTCATTTTGGCAGTACATTTTGCAGTTTACTTTGCCTGGAGGACGGCATGCAATGCACCATTCAAGCCTCCTTCAAAATGCAGGTGCACCGAGAGTCTTACGTGGTGTTGCTGCTGCATCAACAACCCCTATTCAGGCCAAAATATATGCAAAAATCGTGCTTCGGAACCTTGAGCGCCACCATGAACTCTCAAGTTATTTGTGAGGATAGTTTCTTCTGAAACTCTCCCATGGAGATTGTCAATCCTTGGAAAAAGTACAATCTACTTTAGAATCGAACCACGAGGCTGAAGCAGGCTCTCTCGTTGTCTTTCCTGAACCAAAACTGTTCCTTTTTGGTTCAAAAAGTTTAGACACCTTGTCGTGTCTGGCCTCGTGGATTACTTGTGGTTAGAAAATGAAAGAGGGCATGCATGTTCATGAAGATCTTTAAACTGATGTTTGTTAGGTTTAGCAGAACAGAGGATTTTTTTTCTTTTTAGTTTATTTTGACTATCATCACCAAAAGGGAAAAGGGAAGGGGAAAATAAGAATAATCCTTTGACCAGATATCAATCCTTTTACCATATATATACACAGTTTGCAGTGATTTTTCATTAGTACCTGATCGAGCTATCTGTTCCGCTTTTCTAGTTTACTTAAATATGGTGGTAATATAGATTATCCAAATATTCACGTCTTATAAGGACGTTGAAGATGAAGCTGTTCGAACCCAGAATCTTTAGAGAGAATAGTTCGGTAAACCGAGTTATTTTCCACACGAATATAATTTCAAAATTGATTTGAAATGTCAAGATTAAAACTACCGAAATTTGCACAAAGGACATACCCAAAAACTATTGAATATTGAAACACTATGGAGAAAACCTAATATTGAACAAACTACATAAATAATGGTGAGAACACATCGAATTTGAGGTTCAATGAAATATTATCTACTCATCGAGCACCACAAACTAACTTAATCATCAACAAAATATTACAACAAATGGAATTCTTTGGAATTCCCAAACTATTAAAAAGTGAGAGAATGGAGAAAACAAATGGGAGAGATAATTTTTGGGATGATTTCAAATGAAAGTGTTTAGGCCTATTTATAGTTGAGTTTCAAGGATTAAATTTATAAATAACCTGACAGTTTAAGGACCAAATATGAATTTTTCTCATGTAAAAAAGTTGGCCACTTGCCAACTTGTGTGAAAAAAAATCAAATTTGAATTTTTTTAGTGGTAGTAGATTTGAACTTGAATTTTTTTAGTGGTAGTATATTTGAACTTGAATTTTTTTATGGCTATCAATTTTAACCAACACTTGTTTTTTCAACTTGTAGGCATGTAAAATTACAAGCCACACACATAACAAATCTCCACCTTGGCTTGAAATTATCAAGCTTACTCAACTTCTTCAACTCTCAAAATCTGATGAAGCTATTCTTATGTAGTGCCTCTAATTGTACTCACGAGCGTCTTACACCAAAAGGTGGTCAAAATTTTAGTATGTTAATCAAGTTCAAATAATGATTGAACTTGATCATTGTTACCACCTTGGTTATCATATCTGCAGGATTTTCTGTTGTCACACTCTTCTGAAGTAAAATATTTTATTCTTCAAATATCTCACGCATAAAGTGATATCTTACGTCGATATACTTAGTCCATGAATGGTAGACTTGATTTTTCGCTAAGTGAATAGCGCTCTGACTATCACAATAGAGACTAGTGTGACTTTGAACAACTCCCAAGTCTTCCATCAATCCGTTAAGTCAGATTGTTTTCTTCACAACCTCTGAAACTACGATCTATTATGCCTTTGTAGTAGACAAAGCCAATGTAAAGTGTAAAGTAGACTTCCAACTTACTGAGGCTTTTGCAAGAGTAAATGAATACCCAATAGTTCGACACTTATCTAAATCACCAGCACAGTCGAAAATAACATACCCAACTACAAACTGATCAAGCATTTTATCTTGTACAAGAACTAAACCAACATCTACGGTTTGTTTGAGATACTGTAGAATCCATTTCATAGCTTGAAAATGTCCCTTTCCAGGATCGTGTATGTATCTGCTCACAAATGCAACTGCTTGTGAAATATCAGGATACATACACACCATCACATATATCAAGCTCTCAACTGCATTAACATATGTAACTTTTGTCATATACTCTCGTTCTTCATTAGTTTTAAGGGATAACTGAGAACTAAGTTCAAAGTGAGAAGAAAGTGGGATAGTACTTATTGATAACTCCGTAAAAAGACACTATTTTTAGTCTTTTTTACTTAAATTATTGTTTGTCTAAACATTGTTGTCATAGCATAGTTGCATTTAGGTTATAATTGCATGTGGTGGATAAGTTTTGCCTAGGTAAGATTTATTTGGCTTAACTAATGCTGTTGAGGAGAAAGGACTTTTGTGGGTTGTGTGTGTGCAAGAATTGGCTTAGGAGGAACATTTCAGCTGTGACAATATATTTCGCAAGGGCCAACGGAACACAGAAGACAAAGACAGCGATGAACATATTTTTTTTTACCAAGGCAAGATTTATCTTGCAAGTCTGAAGAGGATCTGATGAATTATTGATGTCACCTGTCAGCTGTACGACTGACCTCACGTGTAATCAAGCCCCCCAGATTCTGACCATATTCAACTGCCTTTCCATCTATAGCATGGACAAGTTAACATGGTATTTAGGGAATATTTAATTACAAAACCCTAGGAAAATTCCTTTAATAAATACCCAGTCACAACCGCCAAAAAAAGGGGCAAGGAAAAAGAAAATTCACCTGAGGTGTGGAGTAAGCAACTGTAGTACCTTACCTTTCATGTTCTCTAACCCGACCGTCCTTGGTGCCCTCCATAGCCAGGCTATAGCAGAGAGACGGTCAGGCCTCGAGAGAGGCTGACCGCCAGAGCAGGCGCGGTGCTGGTCAGAGCTGTCATGGTAGAGCCACCTTCTTTGGAGCCATTCTTTCTTTTCTTAATTTCTTAATCTATTTTGAGGTTTGTATTAACAATGATACTTTTGGATGACACTTTGGAAACACCATGAATTGTTTTTTTGTATTAGTTTTTTGTTTTGCCGAGACAATTATTTTATGGTTCATGAATGATGCATTATGATTTTGCTTACGTCTGTTTTGTTCATTGTTTTAATATTTTTCCTTGTCATTGTAAGAGCTTTCGAGAGATGGCCTGATTCCTAGGTGAAACACTTCTAGACCTTGTAAGAGCTTTTGAGAGATTGTCGTCTTTTTAGAAATTGATTCTTAAATTCGAGAGAATTAATATAGATCTACGTGAACAATGGAATAGATCTGGGATGGTGATGTTCTAACCTACCTATCTTAGAGATACGGAGAGGGTTTCAATAGACTAAAAGGGAAAGACTTGAGTAAAATAGATAACGACTATAGTTCACGTTGAGGGGTATTGCTACAATAACAGTCTGACAAACCAAGGGTTGTAGTTAATGCTGTAGTATTGTAATAGAAATCGTCTTAGAATACTCAGTAATCCTGTCGGGCAGCCTAAGCATATCATAACAAATCCTTCCAGACTTAGAATAATTTCTTGCCATAACAAAAGACTAACTTGAGTGCTTTGTGAAAAGTCTGAATATGTGAGGTTATTCTGAATATATTTGAGTCAACGTTTTTCTTTGCCTTGATGATTTTTATTTGTTACTTTTGCATATTTCCTTTGCTTCGACCAAACTTTTCTACAATCATACTTCACAATATTCTCTTGCTTTAGCAATGCTTTGACACTTGTTCGTATAATCCATTGCTAATTGTTTTTCTGTTTTGAATAGAATTCAGGAACTAGCTCGTGACACCTAGCTCTAGTTGTGGTGAAACATCAAAACCCCTACCAATCCCTGAGGAGACGATAACTCGCTTACCCTTTATTACTTGATTCGACTGTATATACTTGCACAAATTTGCTTGCCTTATCATATACATTTACAAGCGATCAAATTTTTGGCGCTGTTATCAGGGATTGGCAACTGACAAATTTTTTAATATTTTTGTCATAACAAATTTTTATTTCTTGTCACATTTTACTTAGTTAGTTTAACCTGTTTAATTTTTTATTTTTATTTTCCTTTGAATGTTTTTATCGTTGCATTACCCTGAGATCTGCTGGTAAACCACTAGAACCATTTGACCCTGAGATTGAACAGTCGTTCAGATAAAGCCGACGTAACCAACGAGCTAGAGAGTATATGAATAGACTATAGTATCAAGGCGACAATAATATGGGAGATTATGCAGATCCCGACGTAGTGGCAAATAATCTTCCTAGAGAAACTGCATGACCACGAGCAATATGAGACCACTTGAATCCAATTCTTGATGATCTCAATCTAGGCATTGTGGCACCAGAAATACATCAATTCATTTTGAACTTAAACCGGTGATGTTTAACATGCTAAATTCCATCGGTCAGTTGGTGGCTTGTCTAATGAGGATACTAGACATCATGTCCGTGACTTTCTTGTAGTGTGCAATTCATTCAAGTCAAAGAGTGCATGAAGATGTGCTGAAGCTTAAACTTTTCCTTCTTCCCTACGCGACCGAGCAAGATCTTGGCTCAGGAGTCCCTTTAGGCTTAATGGAATCATGAGCAGATTTATGTAAAAGTTGTTTACTTCGATACAGCCTTTCCAATATGAACACACAACTACACAATGACATTGCAGTTTCACCAAAGCGACGATGAATCCATGTAAGAATGTTGGACAGATAAAAATGTTTGTTTCGCAAGTGCGTGAACCATAGATTTAATGACTGGACTCAAGTTGTAATGTTTTATAATGCAGTCAATACACCTACTCGAATGATGTTAGATGCCTCAGTGAATGACACTTTGCTTGAATAATCACCCGAGGAAGCCTTCGATATCCTCAACAGGATAACGAATAATGACTATCAATGCTCGACTACAAGGGGGAATCGGTAGAAAAATATCTATAGCATACGAAATTGAGGGTAAGGATTCAGTCTCTTCCATAACTATATATAAAAATTTGCAGTGTCCTAATGAGGTGAGAGAAGTCTAGGCAACTAGTGTTGCATGCATTCTTTGTCGCGGCAACCATCATGAAGGTGAATGTCCAGAAACCCGGAGTCCATCAATTTTGTGGGCAACTACAACCGAAATAACAATCCATATTCTAATACATATAATCCTGGATGGCGACAACATCCAATTTTTTCATGGGGTAATAAACGAACTAACAACACCAATCATGCAAGCAATTATAATAGGCCACAATAGAATAGTTCGGAACATCAAAATTTTCAGCATCATCACCAGCAGATGCCCTGGCAACATAATAAAGGTACAACTTCTTCCTTTAATACAAACTCTAATTTTAACTCCTTGGAAGCGTCATTGTAGGAATTTATTGCCTCGACAAAAGATTTATGGCTTCAACAAACTTTAATTCATGAACACTCATCGACAATTAAGACCAAGGTAACTTGTTACAAAGCCAAGCAACTCTTTTGCTAAGCTATAGTTCATCCTTGAGAGCATTAGAGAA